GTAATAGCCCCGGTATCTCAAACTTTCGAATTTGATGTAAATTCCCATATGGGACGCTGGGCCCAGTTCCCAGCACGTGCTGATCCCCACGAATAGATTGGAGGCTTGTCCCAAAAAAAAAAAAAAAGGAAGAAGAAGAAGAAGAAGATGATCCACCGAACACGGGTACCATATGCATGAAAAAAGGCAGTGTAAGGCATCAAGAGCCAATGCTCTTCCTTGAGTCAGCATCCCAAAGATATTGCCGACAAGATTTTGCAGACAATAGATAGATAACCTTGCTTTCAACCAAGTGAAGGACTGTTTTTTTTTTTTCTTCTTTTTTTTCTTTTTTTGTTCTTTGCACCCTACATACCCACTTGCACCCCCAAAAACCATTCGCACTGCTCTGCAGGCAGACATTTCAAAGTTCAAAGTTTTCAAACCCATTCCACACAGAACTGAGTGTCAGCCTTCACGATGGCTTCACGATGGTGACAGAGTCAAACTCATTGGCTAATGCTTCAGACAACTGAGAACAAACATTCAGCCAATGGTTCAGTACTTCAATGATTCATTCATACATATTAACACACAGCGCAAAAAAAGATCATCGACACTTGCGGAGGCATTGCACTGATTGGCACTCTTAGGCCACCGCCGAGGCCTCGGTTCCTTAGGAGGCCGGAACGAAACAACAGCCGCCTATGAGATTTATCAGGAAGCCGCTGTCGGGCCCAGCCTCCGATATTTTTTAGGAGTAGGCTATTTTCCCATGTACTCAACAGCGGGAAATGTAGTGGTGTTTTAAACCGCAAGTACACGGCCCCAGCCTTGCAGAAAGTTTTTGTCGCCACAAGCAAAACTCGGAGGGGCCGCGCAGCGTGGGCCGCCGTTGAAAAAAAAAAATTGGTGGCCTCCTAAGTGGTGCGGGTTTCGTGCTGACACCCGCGGGCAAATGTGTGGTGTACTGGTGCTTTAAGATGAATCCCTTCAATAGTGGGGTGTGCTCTGTGAGGCAAAAGGAAGACCTCCATCTCCATCTGTACCACAAAAAGCAGGGGTGCCAAAGCACAACCCTGACGCAGGGATCCCGCCCGCCAGTTGGGAAGGTTCTGGAATTTCACCGTTAACCATCACCTTTCCCATGTACATTGCCTGAACCCATCAGTAAAACTCTGTCCCAAAGTCTGCTGCCGTCTTCACCCGAATAGAGCGCCCGGTAATTATTGCCGTATCTGGACTGAAGTTGCACCAAGTACAGCTATAATGACCGGGCGTTCTATTTGGGTGAAGACGGAGTTCAAGCATGCGCAAGGAACCATGCAATAAGAACACCAATAATCCAGATTGCAAATCTCACAGAAGACCAAACATGATTGAGCCGAGTTGAATGCAAAAGACCGAAGTGAAATGCGCTGTGACGCCCCAACCTCACGCCCAGCGCGACTTCCTGATCGGAGTGGGGTGTGGGCCTGGAAGTGCGAAAAGGGGTGTGCCAAGGATTTTTGGGAAAGTGGGGGTGGAGTCCCAGGTCAGAACTGAGATCTCCTGTGGCAGAGTTTTTCAGAGGCACGGGTGCAATTTGGCAGAGAGGGCGGACCGCTTCCGGTCATAAGGCAGATGGCATGCGCAGGTCATTCAAGGCCGCTCGATCCGTCCGTTTT